GAGCCCAAATGCAGTGGTTTATTTCCTGCTCCCCAGAACAGGCCCCACGGGGCCTTTCTCTCACCCAGGCTCTGCCGCCGGACCTCCAGGGCATCCTCTGTGGCAAACAGGGTCTTGGGGAAGCGGATGAAGATCTTGGTCCTGGGAGGGCAGCAGTGATCAGTCCCTGATTGCCACCCCCATGCCCCCCAGACCTGAAACTTGGGCACCACTCACCTGCCCATCTTGTACTCTTCTGGCTTGTAGCCAAGGTGCCTGACCAGCACAGCCACTCCATCCTGGGGCCGTCCTGCCCACGTGGGCCATGTGTCTGGGCACAGCGACTTGTACCTGGGGACAGACAGGAGCAGGAATGCACCCAACTCTCATTTCAGCCAGTGCCCTTCCCTGGGGACCCAAGCCAGCTTTCCGGGACATCTGCTAGGTGTTCCAACTGATTGGCAGCTCACAGAAAGCCTGAGAGGTCACTCTGTTACCCCCATTTTAAAGATGAGGCAACTGAGGTATTCTCATCTGCCCAAGACCATGAGGCTGGAAAGTAGCAGAAATGAAATTCACACCTGACTGACTCCCCAGACCCCTAACTCAGAGTAATTACAAAGCTGCTCTCTCCTTTCTGAGCTGGTTGGAAACTCTGTCCTCCTCATAGGCTTTTACTATCTCCCCTGGTGACAGGTATGTGGATGCCTGCCTCATGGGTCCCTCCCCAGGTGCTCCATGAGTCTAGGGGAACTGGTGCTCTCTACCAAGCCTGACATTAGGCCTGTAGCATGGAGTGGCCCCTGGCACGAGTTCCACGGCAACTCTGAGTCTCAGCATCATGTCTCTGAAATGGGACCACAAATCCCTGTTCTCCCTCCTGGGATGGGATCTAGGAGGCTCCTACCCTCCTGCCCCCTTTCCCTGGCACTGAGCCAGGCCCCATCCCCACCTCTGCAGGAAAGCCTCATATTTGCGGCGATATGCAAAGCCGGCTCTTCGCACTCGTAGGTTCTCCATCAGCCCCAGGTACTTCACCTGGTGCCGGATCAGCACCTCATCAAAGCGGCCTAGGGGAGGGGTAACAGGGTGGTTAGTGGGCTCGCATGGACAGACGGTCCGTTGCTCTTGCCGAGGAAGCCCAGAGCCACAGGCCCACGGACAAGAGGGGCTTACCGGGCTGTTTGGCATCATTGGGCTTGATGCAGCGGATATAAGCAGGCTCCTTAGACTGCAGGATCTCCACCAGCTGCAGGAGGCTCATCTTGAACTGGGTGGCGACCTGGTGAGCCAAGGTGAGTGGAAGGTTGACTGGAGCTAGGCTGAGGCTGCTGATCCCTGGTGCAGCCCCTTTTTGGGGCAAAGCAGCACCAGTTCCTACAACTATTCCCCCTTACTGCCTCCCACCATCCTCCTTCTCAGTGGAGGAAGAGGCCAGACTACGCCCACCCGTCCCTCTGGCTGGGCTTGAGACCTCCGTTTAGGAACCTCACTCGGGTCTAAAAATCCTGCTCAGGTCCCCACACAACCTCAATTCTACATCTCCCTTTGGCAACCACTCATTCTCTTTCTAGAACTTCAGGGCCACGTCCCTACACCTATGTGTTCAACCATTATCCCTGTACACCACTCTGCAGGACCTTCAAGGATCTCAGGCCTGTAGGAAAAGCAGACTCCTCAGCAAAGACTTGTGATCCTATTAATGACAGGGGCATACGCGGAGGGTTCTGGGAGCACCAAGAAGGGGCAATTAATCCAGTCTGTGGGGGTAGGGGACATCAGGAAAGGTCTTCTGGGCATGAACCTTCCGCTGAGATTTAACGGGTATGTAGGAGAAAAGATGAATGAATGAATGATACGTAGGAGAGAGCCAGAAGGGAGAGAAGGGAGAAAGGCATTCCAGGCAGAGGGATGGCCTGAGCAAAGGCTTGATGTACACGGAGCGCTACAAGCAGTGCATCCAGACAGGCGGAGCAGAAGGAGGGCGAGAGACTCAGGCAGAGGCAGAGTCATGGCAGGACTCGAGTCACATTAGGGGGAGTGAATTTTATCCTGCGGGAAATAGGGAGTCATAGAGGAATTCAGAGGCAATGACAGGAACAGGTTTGCATTTTAGAATCTTTATAGCAGGTGGGTGGAAGATGGTTGGTAAGGGCAGATGGGGAGCCAGGAGACCAGGGAGGAGGCTGGCTGGCCTCAGAAGACAGATAACAAGGACTGTACTGGAGCAGTGGTTATGGAGAAGGGGGTCAGAGGAAGGAGTTGAGAAATACCCAGGCAGCAGAAACAGTAAGGGCCAGTGGTTGCTTGGATGAAGGATGGAGGAGACTAAAGCGTTAGAGATGCTGCCCAGGTTTCTGGCCTGTGGATCTGGGTGGAGGGTGTTCCCTGCCCTGAATTAGGGACACAGAAGGAGCAGGCCTGGGGGACTGGCAATCTAGGGCCCATTAGAGACCAGTGGAATCTGCAGTGCCTGGGGGCCACTCGGAGGACATCACTGGATACGTGAATCTGGGCTTGCTGGAGTGGCCCGGGCAGTAGTGGATTTGCAGGTGTCCTCACGGAGGGATACTGAGGCCTGAGGATGAGTGTGCTGGGGTAGGGAGGGAGCAGAGGGCAGGGTCCCAGGAAGTCAGGCCCTGGGCAACACACTGCCTCCATGTTCTCCCTGCCAAACACACCTCAGCTCGCAGCACGCTGGCCTGTCCCTCCTCACTGCCCTTACTCTTCCCGGGGCTGCCTTGGCCCTCCTCATGCCAAGCCCAACAGCCACACTTCTGCCCTCAGCTCACCATCTGTCACCACTGGCCACACCTGCCTATCCCAGCCTCTCCCCTCGATGATGTCACTCTCCTGTCAACCTTTTGGTAGTTTCTGGACTCTGTGTGTATGGTGGGTCCTCTCTTGGACTACAGCACTCTCCCACTGCCCACAGTGTCCTCCCATAGGTCCATATGACGAGCACCTACTCATTCCCATGTTATCTCAGATGCTTCCTCCTCCAGGAAGGTTTCCTTGACCCTCTCACCCCTTCCATCCTTTAGGCAATTTGCTGCTCCTTATTCTAAGTCTCCGAAAGCACCTTGTACGCATTTCTCTGAGAGCACCTATACATTTCTGTATCCTAAGTGCCTGCCAATATCTGCTACAAATGTTTGCTGAGGGGATGAACGTAAGTGCCCACGCAGGCATAGGTGTACACATAGGCACGAAAAGAAGTAGGCACGGATGCATCAACAGGCAGCCTCCCAGACACATACATGTGCACACGGGGTCACATGCACATGGCCAACTCCCAGGTTCATGCAGGCACACCCACGCCCCCTTGGGTCCCATAGCCTCCACACCGTTTCCGGCCGCTTCTTGTCACTGAGCTCGCTCCGGTCAAAGCACTGGTTCATAATAGGATTCTCCGAGCTGCACATGGTCTGTGAGGGCAGAGCAGGGGGTCAAGGTGGGAGCATAGGGGAAGGCAGGACATATTCCTGGCGCAGAGATCTTTCGGGGCCAAACCCGGAGCCCTACCCATAGTCCTCCTCACCTCTTTCAGGTTCCGGAAGAGGAGGTCATTGTTTTTATCCAGAAATCCTAGGAAGGGAGAGCAGATGTGAGGTGAAGGAGAGCCCCTCTCCCTGCCCACTGTGGAGCCCCAGCCCCAAGATCCTCACCAGTCACACTGTAGGTCACTTCCCCAGCGTAGTGCAGAAGGCGGAACTCCCCGCGGCCCAGAGATTTCCTGGTCCGTTGGTCAGCCAGTTTGTGCCTGGGGGTGACAAGGAGAGGAAGCTACAGATTGCTGGCCTGAGCCATGCTCCCTGCCTGCTGAAGAACCTTTGAGAGAGGAAACAGGCACCTAGTAAGGATCAGGCATGCCAAGAGTCACCCCGCAGGCCCCTGTGCCACTCAGAGGCTTAGGGAGGTAGATGGCCTTGCCCAGGGTCACACCATGCCAGGACCAGGATCCGAGCATCTGCACTGCCAGGGCATGCTGGGCATAGGGCTACTTTCACTGCCTCTGGCTGTTGCATGACTGCTCAGAAGGTTAAGCGCTGCCCACTACATTTTAAGAAAGGAATCTGCCCCAAGAGATTACTTAAGTCTTAAGCATGTTTATACCCTTTAGCCCATTTTCTGCTTTTATGAACTAGTCCAAGCAACTAACCAGAGATACAGGCAGAGATTTAAGGCACAAAGATGTTTGTGGCAGCCTTGTTATCCAACAGAAAACCCAGAGGCTGGCCAGGGGCCCCCAGAGGCTGCGTAAGAACAGTGGGGTATCTGTGAGGAAATTTTCTGTTTGATAATACAGGAAAAGACTCAGGATATAACATTATCCTGAGCCTTATACAGTAAGTTCTCACTTAACATTGCTAATAGGTTCTGTGACTTAAAGCGAAACAACGTATAATGACACCAATTTTACCATAGGCTAATTGATATAAACAAGAGTTACATTCCTACAGCATCTCATAGACGTTACAAAGACACGATGTTGAAAGAAATGACATTGAGGACCTGCTGTACACAGTAAGTTCTCAACTATGAAAAAAAAATGTATAGAAAAAGGCAGGAAGGAAATGCCTCAAATTGTTAACAGCGATGACCTCTGGGTGACAGAACTACAAGTGGCTTTTGCACACATTCCAGCTTTTCTCTAATGAGCAACATTATTTTTACAATCAGGAAAAGGGTTTTAATATACTAGTAAGCAAAAATGCTCAGGGCTTTTGCATTCACAGTCCTGAGACTGACTCCCAGCTCGGCAACTTACTAGATGTGTGATAACCTTGAACAAATGACTTCTGTTTGAGTCTCAGTAAAATGGAGACAGCACCATGAATACCTCCCTTCAGGGACTGCTTCAGGTTAAAGGAGATGATGGGCACAGAATATGCAGGACAGGGCTGGGACAGAGGGGCTTGTTTCCTTTCTCCCTCGCCCCACTTTAGGGGATGCCTTAAATAAAAGGCAATTTCCAAATAAAGAAGCTAAAAAAAAAATCTTAGCAAGTTTCATTCTCAAAAAAAAAATAAGGAGGGCCGGCTGAGTGGCTCAGTTAGTTAAAAGTGTGAGCTCTGAGCAACAGAGTCGCCGGTTCGATTCCCACATGGGCCAGTGAGCTGCACCCAAACTGAGCTGCCAACAGGCAACAGGATGGCTCAGCTGGTAAGAGCACGTGCTCCTAACAACAAGTTGCCGGTTCAACTCCCGCATGGGATGGTGGGCTATGCCTATCTGCAACTAAGACTGAATATCGCACCTTGAGCTGAGCTGCCCTGAGCTGCCGATGGGCGGCCGGATGGCAACTGGACTTGGAGCTGAGCTAGCTGCACCCTCCACAACTAAGACTGAAGAACAACAACTTGGCTGTTCCCCTTCCCCAATTCCCCAATAAAATCTTTGAAAAAAATAAAAAAGTGAGGAAGCCATGTTTCTAGCTTCTTTCTTTGTGGATGTACTGAGAGTGGCAGCTTCATGTGCCTGACCTTCACTTAGTACCTCCCCACATCACCTCCTTGTGGCTGGTATTTTTAGGGGGATCCCAGGCATCCACAGGCTCTGCTCCAAGAGAGCTCTTGCCCCCAAGTGAGCCCTGCAGCCCCACTCACGTCAGGAAATGTGGATGGTGCTTGACTGTATCCTCCAACTTCTCCAGGAATGTCAGATCCGTGGCTTCTCCAGGGCGCAGACATTCCTCATCCTGGGGGTGGGGGGGTAGAACAGTAATGGACGTATTGGGGGAGGGGCTGGAGAGCACACAATTTCGGGGCACCATGCTGGGAAGCAGAGACTCATGGGAAAGGGGCAAATCATAGAGACCCTCCTACTGATAGCTTCCAGACCCAGCCAGCACCTCACCTCACCCTGCATGCACAGCCCTGCCCCCTCCCTGCTCAGCCCCAAACTCTGGCCCTCTGTGGAGGGGCAGAAAGAGAAAGGGGAGGGAGTGACATCCTTCCACCCAGGCCACACACGAGGCTTTGGAGGAACACAGGACTCACCAAAATGGAAATGATGCCCTTAAACTTCTCCTCTACCAGGTCACAGATGATCTTGTTGTTGAAATACTGGACAGGCTCCCACTGAGGGGTAAAGGGAAGGAAGGCATCATTATGGGTTCCTGACACCTGTCCTGGGGGACTGATGCCTGGGCTTCCTATGGTACACGGGGACATCTGCAGGCCTGCACTCACCGCAATGCCCTCTGCCTCATACTCTTCCTGTTCCGACTTGAGGGTGAGCTCAATGAAGAGCTGCTGCAGCTTCTCGTTGCAGTAATTGATGCAGAACTGCTCAAAGCTGTGAGGGAAGCAGAAAAGGCCACAGTAGCTCAATGAGGGGCACGGGACCAGGAGCAAGGGAGAGACAGCTAAGGCAAGAAACACCAAACAGGACCCAGGGTGGTCGGGGAAGTCATTGGCAGGAATGCGAGAGGCAAGGGGACAGAGGATAAGGAGATGGGAGGAGAGACCGGAAGGGGGAATAGAGGTTGCTGACCTGTTGTGCTGAAACACTTCAAAGCCATAAATGTCCAGGAGCCCAAGGACCGTGGTGCTCCGCCAGCTGGGACTCTCAGCATCCTAGGGCCAGTCAACCGAGAGCATGGGTCCCCATGCCTGCCAGGTCCCCCATGCCTGCCAGCCCCCAGTTCCTAGCTTCAGGCCTCCCTGGAGTGCCCTCCCTGCTGCCTTGGGAGCAGCCTGAGCTATGCCCTTACCTTGGAGGCCAGAGACCTGTTGATCTTCCCAACCAGCCAGGTAAAAGTGCGACTGTACACGGCCTTGGCAAGAGCATCTCGTGCGTACGCAGCCTGTTCCAGGTTCAGTGGGCTCAGCAGCTGCAGACGTAGCATGAGACAGGGAGATGAAGGCCGAAGACCCCTTCTCAGCCCCTTCCCTTTGCACTCAAACACCAGGAAACTACGCCTACTCTGCCCTCTTCTCTGGAGTGTGTGTGTGGGGACGGGGGGCACACCAGGGGAGGACACAGTGGCCACACTGGAGGGAAGGTGGTATAGGGACAAGAGGCTTCATTCCTAGAAGTGGGAGTCTTGGTTCCAGCCTGACGCCGTCACCCTCTTCCTGTGTGACCTTGGCCAGCTCCTTGTACCTCTCTGTGCCACCTGTCTGTGTCTTTCCAGCATTGCTGAGAAGATCAACTGAGCAAACCAGGGAAATGGGCAATAATGGGGGTGGGGGCTGCCATGGAACACCTGCACCCCTCACCCTACCTCCTGAGACAAAGGCTCAGCCTCACCTCTTCTCCCTTGGCAATGATCTTCCTGTGTGTCAAGGCTTCCCGCAACGTTGAACCGTCCACACCAAGGAGCTGTCAAGGGAGGGGGTGGGGCATGGTGAGGGCACTCTTCCCCTCGCCCAGTTGTTCCACCTTTGCCCTCTGCTCACCCTGCTCACCCTGGTCAGGTACTTGAGCTGGTTCTCGGTGGTGACCTGGGCGTTGCTCTCCTCATCAGCAGCAAAGTGGATGTTGCCCAAATGCAGGACACTGGCCACGATGCTCAACAGATCCTGGGGGACAGGCAGGGGTCGATGGGGGTCACAGGAGAGGCTGAGAGCTCAATGAGGGCAACCAGGGAATGGTCTGATGGAGCGGGGACCAGGGGATAAAGTGTCTAAGAGAAGAAGGGGGATCTAAGTAGAAATAGGCTATAAAAGTGGATTGAGATTTTCAGAGTATGACAGGAGGAAAGAGAGGGCCCCCAGCAGAAGCCTCACCTCCACTTCATCCTCAGTGAAGTCGATGACCATCAGAGCCTTCCTGACAACCTTCCAGTCACTCTTGTCATTGATGGAGGAGACTTTGGCACACTGGCCCTAGAGGAAGAGCAAAGCTAGGTTACTGGCCCTGGCGCTGTGCTCCCCGGAGTGGTACCTGCTCTGCCCGCCAGCTATTCACCTTCACCAGGTACAAGTAGCTCTGAGGGTTACGTTCCAAGCCCAGCCTGCGCAGTGTCTCCTCCTCGCCCCCCTCCAGGAGCTGGTAGAAGATGTGGAAGTTCCTCTCCCCGTGATTTTGGTGGACCACACGGGACTTCTCCAGGAGGTAACTGAGGATGTGGCCACCCACAGGGGCACCCTGTGGGCAGGGCACGTTGTGGTGACTGCTCAGAGGGACTGGGAAATGGGCCCATCTTCCCTTCTCTCCCCTGCACTCCTAGGTTCTAATTCCAGCTCTGCCACTACCTGCATGGGCTCAGGCAAGTCACCCCCCTCTGCCTTAGTTTCTTTATCGAAAAAATGAGGACCTTCAACCCTATCTACTTGGCAGCTCCACTTGGATGTCCAACAAGCATCTCAAACTCAACAGGCCTGAAACTGAACTCCTAATCTCCCCCTCCTCAAACTAGCTCCTCTGAGTGTCTTCCATCTTAATCAACAGTTACTTCATCCTTCTGGGTGTTCAGGCCAGGAAGTTCGCAGTCCTCCTGGGAGCCTCTTTTTCTCCCACACTTCACGTCCAATCAGATAGCCAGTCCTGCTGCCTTAACCCTCAAAACCTCCAGAATCCAACTACTGCTCACCCTCTCCACTGCCACCACACTGGTCCCAGCCACTGTCACCTGTCACCTAGATTATTATATCAGCTTCCTAACTGGTTCCCCTGCTTGGCCTGGTTCTCTGACCATCTATTCTCAACAAAGCAGCCAGAACAATCTTTTAAAGAGAAAAGTCAGGTCATGACACACTTCTGTTCTAAATCTTCCGATGATCCCCTTCCATGCAAAGTTAAAAAAAAAAGTTCTTACAAGGACCTCAAGGGTCTGTGCTGTTCGGCCCCCTCTTATTCTTTGGCCCCTCACTCTCTTCTCCAGCCACTCTGGCCTCCTTGCTTGAACATACCAAACACCCTCCCACTTCAGGGCCTTTGCACTGGCTATTCCCTCTTCCTGGGCTCTCTTCCCCAGCTATCTGCATGGCTTGCTCCCGTCTCTATCATGCCTTTACAAACATGCCACCTCAGTGAAGCCTACCCTATCTGCCTCATTTAAAAGAGCAACTGCCCTCACCCCTTATCTCGTTTTATTTTTTGCCATGGCACTTGTCACCTACATTACATTTTTCTGTTTATTGTCTATCTCCCTTGAAGGCAGGATTTTTGTCTCTTTTGTTTCACTGCCATAGCACCAGCACCTGGAATAGTACCTGGCATACAGTAGGTGCTCAAGAAACATTTGCTGGTGCCAAGGACCTGGCTGGTGGACACCTACTGAATGGGAATCCCACTCCCTGCCCCAACACCCCGACAGGTACCTTGAAGTCAAACTGCACGTCCATGTACTTCCCAAACCTGCTGGAGTTATCATTCCGGAGGGTCTTGGCATTTCCGAAGGCCTAGGAGCGAATGGGGTATGAGGGATGCTGGCCTTCTCTCCCTGTCCCGCTTTCTCCTCAGATGCTGCTGGTCCCTCACCTCCAGCACAGGGTTGCTCTGCAGCAGCCGGTCACGCACAGCACCCCCCCGCTCGGGGGCTGGGCAGGTCTCAGCATAGAACTGCAGCAGCCTCTTGGTGGCCTCTGTCTTGCCTGCCCCGCTCTCCCCCGAGATCATCACTGCCTGGTCGCGGCGCTCCGTGCGTAATGCCCGGTACACAGTGTCAGCGACCGCGAACCTGGGGCAGAGGTTTGTTAGCTCAGAGGGACGCAGCTGCTGGTAGTGGGAACCCCCCAGGTAGGGCTGGGGGGCCACTCCCATATCTGGTTGGAGCTCACTTGTGGGTGAGGGCTGCATGTACCCTCAAGATGTGGACTGGGTGTGGGTGAAGGGAGATCCCCCACAGTTGAGGACACAGTCACTTTCAGATGGAGGATAGAGTGGATCACTCACAAGTGGGGTTGTTGCAGGTCATTCAGGTAGAGGTTGGGGTCATACATAGGTAGGGCTGGAAGGTCCCTCAGAGGTAAGGGTCAGAGGTTGGGGGCCATGCCAGGAAGAATTGGGGGAATAAGTCATGAGTATGAGTTAGGGTTGGGGGCTGGGGAGGTCCCACCCACATGGAGCTGAGAGATTCATCTTGGATGGAGAGCGGGGTCACTCCAGAGTGAGGAATTAGGGGATTCCTCGCAGATTTCATGAACAGTGGTTCATCCAAAGAGGGAGGTCAGGGATCATTTTAGAGTGAGGGTCCGGTGGAGGTCATCTCAGATGGAGATGGGGGGGTGTCACTCACAGGTGCGGTGGCACCTCATAGAAGCTGATGCCACGGTAACGCTCCATGTGCTGCCGGGTATAGATCTGGAGGTCCCGGTAGGGGTTGACAGAGACCAAGACTGGGCCAATGTAGGTCTGGGGGTCAGAGGAGGAGGGTCAGAATTTTCTCCCAGAGGCCCCTGATCCCTCTTTTCCCTTCAGCCCTGCCTCAGCTCCCTCAGCCCTCCTCTGTGCTCCCCAGCACCCCCACTGTCTTCCCACTTGGGCCTCACGTAAATGAGGTTCTCCCGGAACCGTCGCCGCAGGTTCTCGATGAAGGCTGCCTCACTGGTGAAGTTCTCCAGCAGCACGAAATCCTGTACCCCTACTCGGTCACGGGCAGTCAGTGCACTCTCCATGGTCACCCGCACCCCGTCACTGCCCAGGGCCTGTTGGGAATGGGCCACGGGAGTGGATCAGGGCCAACAGGGTAAGGTAAGGCTATTTCTCCCCCTCCACCACAGCCTGAGGGATTGAGAGGGCAACCAGGGGCAGGTGGACACAGGACACAGAAAACATCCCGGAGACGGACCAAGCTAGATACATTGGGCCTGGTCACAGGAAACTGCCACATGGAACACTGAGGACACTGGTCACACAGAACAGAGCCCGCAGTTAGGCACATGGGATCTGGACACCGACACTGGAGCATAGAGGACCTAGAGGTCATGGGAGCAAGGCCACTGAATTCAAGGAGGTGCTAGTTTTATGTAGAGAAAGGGGGGCTCATGAGAAGGAACTCCTGGAAAAATAGAAAGCTCTGTTGACCTTGGAAAAAATCCCCTCCTCTCTCAGGGTTGCTTCCGCCTCAAGGAGGAGGAGTTGAGTTAGACAAGGTGACTTCAGGTCTCTTAGCTCTGAGCCACGTGTGACAGGTGTTTTGGAGGACAAATGGCTCAGAGAGAATTCTGCAGGCAGGGTGGGGCCATCTCTCCCACCCCCACCCACTAAAATCTCCAGGGAAAGATGTCTAGGAACCAAGCAAGAGGCCACCCCCAGGCCATACCACAGGGATCTCCCAGGGTGCCTCCCATGCAGCAGCTGGACTCAACAACACCCACCCCAAGGGGGCCTCCCTCTTACAGCTGGGCCACGCCCTCCCCATCAGCTGCCATGCCCCCCAGTCACCCTCCTCCACTGAGAGCCCTGAGAGGCCTCAAGGGGGTGGCGGTTTTACCACGGAAAGCCCAGTTACCTCCGGGGCTCACCAGAGGGTGGGGGAGAGGGACAGTCTCAAGAAGACCCTCGCCCCACCTCATACTCTTCAAAAAGGGTCTGGGGGCTCCAGGAAATTGACACCAAGAGTGTCCTGGGTCAGAGAAGAGCAAGGTGGAACTGGTAGAAGGGAGGTGTAGATTCCCAAAGAGGCCACCAGATCTTCACAGACCACCCAGATCTCTGGCT